CTTAACCACTGATTTCTAGTCGTGTCCTCTTTTGGAAGGCCAAACAAAGTAGTTTCTCTTTCACAACGAAACACAGTGTCACACACGGCGGGCTTGAGTGAGCGGCGGCCGGCAGATTCGACGAAGGAGCGGAATATTACAGATTTATTTTTGTAATTATTATTTTTACTTTAACAGAACAGAAGGTTCTGGATAAAATTTGGTACAGGTTTTCCAACCATAAGCAGCATACCTAATACAGGAAACTAGTAATATGGTTTTAACTGGTTATCTAAGCTGGTCAAAGGCTGTTTATTTCAGCAGGGGAGAGGGAGAGAGACCCAGGAGGCCCCAATGAAAGCAGATCGGATATGCCCGCTAAGTAAATGTCATTCTGTTTGTTGCAGCATTGACCCTGCTCTCTGTGGTCATTAATTTCAATCAGGAGCCCAACATGGAACCTGGACCTCTGTTTGCCACGGCTCAGGAGAGGCAAATAAGACATGGCAATTTCTCAGGATATCTTCACAGCATCCAGCTCAACACAGACAAAAATAATGTTTAAAAAAATAATGGAATAGGTGTATGGCTGTATTAAAGTCGGCATGGCTCTTCGTAAACAATACAATGTCTTACAAACTATTAGGTGAACAAATATGGGTTTTTTCAGTGAGCAATGCTGATATATATGTGGTATTATGCAATTTAATGATGCAACTGAGAAATAAAATAAAAAAATTTGTATCAATTATTTACTTCCCAATACTGTATATACACTCAAAAAAAAGAAGAAAAAAAATCAAGAAAATCGGGCCTCATTGAAATGACTGTCAGTAGACTTTACATCATGTTTAAAGGTTTAGTTCATGCAATAAATGAAAATTCGGTCATGATTTTCTCATCTTCATGTTTGTCATACCCACAGGACCTTAGTCCATCTTCAAAACACAAATGAAGATATTTTAAAAATATTTTAATCTCATTTTTGTCTATCAACTGAAAGTACACTGAACCAAAAAAATAAATAAAAAAAGTTAATTAAAACCTTGTACAAGTAATCTATAGAAATCAAATGGTTTAATCAAAGTCCTCTAAAGAGACAACTGAATTATGAACAGATTTAATTTAACACCGATCAATGTACATACACAGAGCACATAAAATATGGCAAACAGAAGCGCAACAGTGTATGCTCGACGCACAAGAACAAACTTTATTGCGTGGAGATCATGGGTGGACAAAAACAATGAGAGAATATTAAAAATATCTTTAAGTGAACTATAAATTTAAATCAGCCAAGCAGTAAAAGCCGAGAAAAGAAACATTATCTCAGTTTTATTTATCCAGCAGGAAGACTGCTTCTCCAAGTTGCTACAATCCTGAATTTCTTTAGACTTCGCAATTTGTAACTATTGCTCTTCTCACGAGTCAAATGCAGTACTTTTAGAGAGTTTGACAGCCTCTGGTCACCATTTTAATTGTAATGAATAGAGCAGCCTGGACATTCTGCGAAATAACTCCATAAGTATAACACTGTTAAAAATAATTAAAACGCATGAAGCCAAGTAGATTCAGCATTTTCATGTTTGTGTGAAATACCCTATCATACATCCGATGGTTGCATTACTGTTGCAGACCATAGACAACAAAAGCTGATTTTTCCTGGCAACAGAGGTGTGGCATATGTCAGTTCATTAAAACTGGAACTATGTTGAGAACCACAAAGGCTCATTCAATGTGTTTTGGGACATTTGTTTGGATGATTGAGTTTTATATATTTTTCTAATTAATTACCGGCTAATAATTTCCTTATTCATCTTTTAGTTAGTCAGAACAAGTTAATCATTCTCAGCAGTCCACAAGATTTTAAACCAAATCCCAATTTTAAATCAAATGCCTGATTCTTTGTTTTGAGTTTGCGTCTATGACAAAAGAATAAAAAGCAACATCCTGCTAGGCGACTGTACGGAAATAAAAGGGTTCTTTATCACAATGGAGTCCATCAGAACAGGCCAAAACATGTTACTATTAGTGTCAGTGATACAGCAGTGCTCCCTAGTGTTTGAGCAGGGAGTCTACCACATGATATCAGGTTAAACTCAATTTCTTTTTGTGGTATACCAACCAGGCTTGCCGTGAGAGAGGGTGCAGATTTGCCTAGGGTCTGGGAGCGCATGCGCACCAGGTTGGTGGTCTCTGAGCCCGTAGCTGACCATGTCTGCTGGGTTGAGGCATAGGGCAGCAGGTACTTCCCTGAAAAAAAAACAATTTCTATGAGTAAAAACATTAGTGAATCTATAAGTAAAGAGTACAGCACAATTCCAAAGGGAAATTATTATTATTTTTTTTTTTGTGGTAGCATACTAAACAAAACGTGTTCATGTTAACTAATAATCTAATCTGTTCAGATAAGAACAGAGGATACTAGGAGTGCTTCTTTCACAGGCAGTGACTCAACTGGTGCATCATAACGGACAAGTTATAACATATGCCATTCAACATGACCCAAATGACAGCATCTATAGACACGTGAATGGCGAGGAGCAAAAGTCATACTGTGCAGTGAGCTAGACACACGATTTGTGTGAAAACAAACATTGATTTTCTGTATAGTAGGCCCAAAAACATTTGGAGACTTAGGAACTGTTCACACATACTGTGTTTTTACATTTCACTGTGCAACTTTGTCATTGTTTTTCTATATAAACAATGCGCAACACAGATATGTTTGATTGTTGCACTCATGTTGTCTTTTGCAGTGCTTCACACATGAAAGTATGTACTAAAAATGCAGAGCTCACGTTCTTCAAAATGTCTTCTTTTGAAATGAACAGAAGAAAGGAAGTTGTGCAGTTTTGGGACAACATGACTGATTTTTTTTTTTTTTGTGCAAACTAACACTTTAATGTGTATACTGAGTCATTGACATTCATTTTAAAATTGTGTTTTGACAATTTAGTTGATAGCATAATCCTAGTATAAGAGATTCATCTGAAGGGCAAATTTATTCTGTCTATGACTTATATGCAGGCATATGAATATACTTATCTTCCCATATACAGTATTTTATTGAAGATACAGTACAGTATGTCATAGCAGTTGATGATTTCACCTAATTAGCCACTCAATTGTTGATTTTAATGCATAACAAAAATGAAATGCACATGGAATTACTTAGAATTATTGAATAATAACCTCATTAATTATTACATTTTAAAAATATAACACTTGCAACAACATGCCACTTGGGGCCTTCTGTGCCATTTCTAGGGGGACAGGGGCACCTTACCCATTTCGCTTCAAAATAAAAACAATATTTTTTACTCCACACATTCAAATTTAAATAAAAAAATACAATAATAATAATATTAATACAATACAATAATAATACAATGTCACAGATCACCATTTTCCAGAGACACTCGTATTACCCAGTGGGGCATCTGACCCTATTTTGTCAAATATTAGTGGATAATATTCATAATTAATGAGATGAACTACTCCTGCAGTAACTCTGTTAGGACAGTAGTGTGAACTTAAGGAGAACTGACTTCACACATCCACTAAAAAAAAAAGAAAAAAATAAAAAAACAAAAAGAAAGAAGCTCTGATAGACATATTCAGCTCATATTCAAGCCCTTCACGCTGTGTCACAGCACTGGGACGGCCTACTCACCTTGACTGATCCTTTTCCAGCCCCCCGTCGATCTATTCAGAGTTTAGATTGATAATCTAATACACCTTCATAACACTGAGCTGCCATACCAAATGTAATTTGTTGGTTGAGAAGTCGTGTCAGACTAAATTAAATCTGTTAGAACCTAATTATATACAGTTTAATATGATACATTTACGCTGTTGTGATCTTATATTTCTGGAATCATTTTCATGGTGCATTAGATGCTGCGTACAACTGTGACTCGTTATTTTAAAGGGTTTGTAGGCTATCTGAAAGAAGCAAATATTTGATGTGTTACTTCCAAATAACTGCTTATATGGCAAATAATGCATTAGCAAGGGGATGGGTAAAAATATTATTACAATCCATGAGTACGATTTTACTTGACAGCAGGGGCTGTAAGGCCATGCCAAATTAAGCATCACCAAAGTGTTCATTTCAATTCATTTGAGTCAAGACAATATGAGAGATGATTATTACAAATATTAAATGCAATCAAATGTATTAAACAGAGCTTCTCCATGTGATTAAAATGGATTTATCTGACCATTTGTATTACGTGTCTGTTCATGCATATCTGTCCTGCTCTTCACTTTATGTTTTATGTTTCAAGTGTTCTTCGGGATTAAGTGTTGTCTGGCTTTCTAATATCCTTTACATATGAATCTGCAGCTGTTTGTCCTTTCATACTAAATCTTCTCAGAACAATCTTCTCCCTGGCAACTAGCAAAACCTCACTGCTGTAAGGTTTACTGTATAATAAAAAACATGGGGGAAAATTAGGTTTTGAAATGCATAGACTAGAAAACTGAATTATCACTTTGCAGTTTTCAGTGTAGGAGATGTGAGAAGATCCTTTTAAAACAGACTTTTAGTTCAGCTATAGCATGGTTTCCCAGACAACCTATTGCGAACCCGTATTTATGTGTTTGTGGGCTCTACATGGTCACAGAGCCAGGTCAAAAAAACAGGATACGTAGGAGGAAAATTGCAATTCCTGCTCAATGCGAAAGAGCTTCCATATAGTCATCATCCACAGAACTGAGGAAATGCCAGCTAGACAGACACCCTCAGCACATTTCAACACTGTGCCCTACGTATCTGATACAAAATATCAGACCCCGAGGAACAGCGAGACAAACACCAAACAGAACAGTATGTAGTCGAATACGGTGGCTACAATGTCCTGTCCAATGAAAACAGCATAATGAAGCTCTGAGGAGCCAAATCCTAAACAGAAAAATATTAAACAAAATGGCACTGTGTGTTTAGAAATGTTTGGCCATTTTGTTCATTTCAAACACACTCTCTTTCCAAAACCTCTACAATTTTGCTAATCAGTTAGTCGGAACATTTCAATGTATGGGATTCCAAAAAAATTCCTAACAAAAGGAAGAAATTTCAGTCTGTTCTTTCAAATGCCTATCAAATTGCTTGAATAGACTTGGAACATAGTGCAGTCCAGTGAGTAAATAATGACAGAATTCTTTATTTTATTTTATTTGTTATTTTGTAAATTTTATTTTAAGCTACTCCTGTTTGTCTGTATTTTTCCATCTGAAACATGCATTATTTAGAGGGTTAGTTTAAACAAAAATTAAAATTGTCATCATTTACTCATCCTCTTGTCATTCCAAATCCAAGAAATTAATTCGTTTTCAAAACACAAATAACAATATTTTTAATCAAATCTGAGAGAATCAAATACTGTCCCTACATTGAAAGTCTGTTCACCAAAAACTATGACCAATTTTGAAAGGCCGATCAATGTTTATATGCGAACAAAATCCGAGTCTCTTCAGAAGACTTGGATTAAACCGTTTAGTTCATATTTGATATATTTTTTGATTTCTCAAGAGTTTTGGGTGAACAGACTTTTAATGGACAAAAATCTCTTAATTTGTGTTCCAAAGCCAAACAAATTTCTTATGGGTTTAGAACAACAACGGAATTGTTATTTTGGGTGCACGAATCCTTTAAGCAAATTATATAATGCGAATAACGTCAAGCATAAACTATTTGCTTTGCGCATGTTTTGTATTTGTATAGTGCATTTCCCATATGCTGATATTTTCAGTTTCTCTTTAAAAAAAAATGTGTTTAGGTTCATAATAAATGCTGATTATAATGAATGCCACTATAATTTGTTTGTTTTATATGTATGTTTGTATTTAGTTCCCCTCACTCTTCAACAAATCCTTTCAATTTAACAGTACACTGTAAACATTTTTATTTTGAATCAAGAGATCCTGTTATGCAGTGTTATGCCTGTTAAGACTTCTTGAATGTATTCAGTGTTTTTTCTAATTTAAAATAAGATAATCCTGTGTTTTAATTTATTTTTTTAATAAAGTGAAGTGATAAAATGTCAACCCTGTAATCTGTGTTCTGTATTTTGGTTATGTATTTCTGTTCTTTTTTATTTATTTTTTTTATTTTGGGACATCGGGAAATAAACAATTGCTACTACAATTTAAAATATTTAATTGCAGCAACAACACTGTCAAACATTTTGAGTTGGAGAGGTCCAACACGTTTTTTACTGTATTGAGCAAATAACAGGAATGAAACATGTTTATAGTGTTTATAATGTTTGTAGTTTTCTGCCGTGCATTTAAAATGAATACCATTTTACAACTTACAGCATGGGATTTACATCAAGGAAAAAGTATCATGGATCGTAAAAATATGTTGTGGTGCAATATGACCCTCTTTTCATCTGACTGTACACAAAGGTCAGGGTGTTACCTGTAAGAGCGCCCCCTAGGCTTCCTCTCCGGAGCTGTCTGCCATCGTCACTGAGTTGTCGTTTAAATTTCAGCGCTAAACTGGAGCCGTGAGAAACCTCTGGGTTGCTGGACTTGCGGAAGGGCATGGAGGGGGGGTAGAGGATGTTATCCAGCTGGAAGAGAGATGAGATCAACATGAAGTTCAATTACAGGGAAAGATCACTTTAGGAATAGCACTGCAGTGTTTACAAAAATATTTAACACATGGCTGCGTATGCATTACTGACAATGCATTACTACATTCATAATGTAATAACTTACTCCAGCTCTAAAATTCCTTGCCTTTTTTGGCTGACATCACTATTTATTTTTCAACCCCATTAAAAGATCCATACCAGTAACTTTAATTGTTATTAATGCTGCTTTTGATACTGTTAAATCCCCTCACTGTGATATTATCATAATTGATCATGAACATCTTTTAAATTTTTTAAATGCTCTTTAAGTAGTAAACAATTTATATAACCAACGACCTACTTCGACTTTCAGTTCATCACCCCCTCCAGCATTCAACGAACAAAACAAGCCCTTTTCTCATACAGATAGAATCTTTCCAGACAAGCAAACACATCTGAGGGCTTTTTCCAGCTCAAATGATAAACACATTAGTGGAAACGTCAGTGGAGAAATCCAAGACAACAAACTGTTTATTACCAAAGCAGGTAGTGCAGCATGATTAATCAAATTAAAATCGAAATTGCGATACGGTGCAGCGCAATCATCAACTTGCAATAGTCTGCAATTTAAATACGCACTGCATTTTGTTCATTTACACACTAGCAGCTCATGATCTGGTTAGGTTCACAGTAAATGCTGCTCCGCACAAACTCATCTCTGCATCTGCTCTGGGTTTCAGTTGCTTATAATGCGCATTTGGCAACATAATATGCACTAACAATCTTCCCAAAGTAATGTTGATATACACATCATAAAATTTATTTTGGCCAAATTGTGCAGCTCTGCATATATGAAATTAAATTAAATCACCATTGCAATTTTTATCAGGAAAAAAAAAAATCTGAGTTTCCCAACAAAATGTGACTAAAATATCATAACCTAAAATATCATTATTATAAACATGTTAGAAACATACATGACTGTATGTGCTGCACGTACTATGATATAATTCTTGCCTTTTAATTTATTCCGATTTGTTTTAGGGGGAGGAGGGGTGTGGGCTGTGTCAACACCAGTGTTGGGGAGTAACTAGTTACATGTAACGGAATTACGTAATTTAATTACAAAATAAAAGTAACTGTAATCAGTTACAGTTACTAAGAAAAAATGTGTAATTAAATTACAGTTACTTATGAAAATGTTAAGGATTACAAAGGAGGTTACATCAGATTTTTTCCACACACACTCCCACATACAGATTTAATTTAGTTCTTTCATAAGTTGCAGTGAGTGCTGTAAAATATGAAACACCAATGTTTCAGAAGTTTATAACATGCTTATCCGATAGGGTTTATGTAGATGCTTTAATTTTTTTAAGATTAACTTTTTTCTAAGGCATTGTTAGATTCCAGTGTTTCCTGTCATAGTTTAATAGCTATGATACTGTTTTTGAAATCAAATCTTTGCATAGCTATTTCTTGTTACCCTGCCCCATAAACCTACCACTCCGCCTACCCCTTCCCCTTGAAACAGAGTGTCAAGGGGTAGGGGTGAACATATTCCCCTAAGAATTGGAACACCACTACTATACGTCACCATACGTCGTCTAGCTCCTACAATACACGAGAGGATAAGATCGCTGTTTTTGAAGTAAACTCACTCTAAAAAGAGAAACGCACAGATGCACTTTCATCTCATCTCTCGCTCTCGAATTGGCAATATTTGAGAAAAGGGTTTAGAGATCTATAATTATTGGGGGTACTAGCCCTCCTCAATGTCCCCTGATCAGACAGGAAAATATGTTGTAGGACTATCATGCAGTCTGTAATGATATGACGTTAGCAAACTTTAGCGAATTTTTGCAAACATTTCTTTGAGTAACATGTTGCTGCTGAAGCCGGTTTACGCGGAGATAATTCATACCCCTTAGTTTGAAGTGTGGTCCCGAAAAATCTTTATTTGAAGGGCTATCTGGCCCTTCCCCTTACCCCTCCAACCAAAAGAGAATCCCCTACCCCTTCACATGAACGCGCGAAATGGAGGGGAAAGGGCTAAGGGGCAGAATTGGGATTGGGCCCCTAAGTATGGTGTCCCATACTCAGAATTTGTGCTCTACATTTAACCCATCCAAGTGTACACAGCAGTGAACACACACACACACCGTAAACACACACCAACAAAGGGGGGGTAATTGAAAAGTTACACTACTTATTACATTTTAAGTAAGGTAACTTGTAATCTGTAACCTATTACATTTCCAAAGTAACCTTCCCAACACTGGTCAACACATAAAAGATGTGTGCATGGAGACAAAACTAGATCGCTTCCATAATAATCAACAAAGCGATCCGCACCACTTGCAGTGCACATTCATTTAGCAGATATAATGCAATACTTTGTTGCTATCACAAACATTTCACCACACCGTATGACATAACCGTCTTTTCTTTTCATTGTCAAAAAGAGTTGAAAGGCTTATGGAGCTAAGACGCACCTCACTGCGGAACAATGGAAGAGTAGAGGAAGAGGTTCCTCCCCATGAATATAAACAAATGGAGGCCCAGGGTGTTCTCTAACTGGAAGGGAACTCCCTCTGCTTTGAGGAAAATGATTTATAATATTACACACTCTTCTGTAGAGTAGCTTAAAAGAGCTGCAATGATCCACACAGATGAAAGCCAAACCATGTGAGAAGACCCAGATCTTAAGGGGAATACTGCCATAAGACCTTATGGAAAAGACATGGTCACCTCCACCTGGGACCAGTAAAATGCACGTGGCATATCACATTTCCAAACATAGTGCTGGTAGTAAATATGTAATGGCACTTGCCCAGAAAATATAAATAAATAAATACTGACAATTCTGAGACAATAACCCTACACAGCTGACTCCCCTGGTCTTTTAAAAGTCTAAAGTGTTTTGGCAATAGTGATTCGGAACCTATGAGAGGAAGTGGAAGTCCAGCGGTACAGATTGGTTACGTCACATGCTTAATCTCAGACCGGAAGACTGGACCAAGTCTAGCTTCATGAGACTATTCTGGCCAAAATCTGTCAGTTTGGACCAGAGGACACCTTCTGACTAGAACAGGTATAAATGATCTGAAATAAATGATAGCAAAAAATTCACTGGTTTGCAATTAATTGGCAGCTCATTTAATTACTGGCACAGCATTCTCTCCAAAATGTTGTACAATACCAAATAAAACAGTGGGAAAGTTGTGTACACTTTATGCATTTTGTTTTATAAAGACTTTTAAAACATGAAGGAAATATATTTTAATATATTGAGTTATTTTGCAACAATATTTATGCTTATTACGAATAAATTTATCCAATATGACTTGTACATAGGGTTGTGACGGTGAGGAAATTTTCCCACCGGTTAATCGACGTGTGACAACACCGGTAATACCGGTATCACCGTGGGGGCAGGGCGTTCCCTCTTTTCCTCGCTTTCCTTCGCTTTTAAATAGCTTGTAAAAGCGGTGTGCCCATTTTACTTTCACTTTTGAATTAGCGGCAGTTCGGCGTCAATTGCTTGAATGCAACAATACAACGTCACTTTAGTCTATATATAAAACATAGAACTTTTATTAACAAAACAAATAAAAATACATCATGCTATAGGGCAAGCTATGCCTAATATAAAATAACAAATAACTTGCATAAAGTTTAATAGGTATACAAAACTGGAAATAAGTAAACATGTAGAATATATAACCAAATAAATAAGAAACGTAGAACGTTTATTAGCTAAACGAATGTCAAATAAAATAAATAAATGACAGTTTAAATAAAGTAAAAATCAGCAAACAATGTGGAACCAACTAAATAAGAAACGAATGTTTAAAAAAAAAAAAAAAAAAAACTTAGATAAACGGCAAAAGTC